GATTTATGGTCTGATGCTTTACTGCTACTGTGAAATTTCTAATTATAAATAAAGTTTGTAGAAGGCTGCTTTCAGAGAGAGAAGAGAAAGAAAGAAGATATTTGGGCTTACCTATTCCGGGCTGGTCAGTCAACAGCCTCCTCTAGAACGGCAACTGTGGTTTCTGGTATAGTCATTTCTACCGCCGCAGTTACCTTCACCCCTTCAGGACCCAGACTCAACTTGAGCTGGACTTTAGCAGGTGGCCCCCGAGACAGGGACCTGGAGATGGGTAAATCCAGATATGTTTGCTCTTCTTTCCATGAATGCCCTTTCCAGTTGCTTGTTATTGGTATATAGAAAGAGTTTTGTAAATAAATTTTATTACCTGACACTTTACTGAAAGTAGTGATCATTTCTAGCAGTTTTCTGGTGGAATATTTGGGATGTCTTATATATAATAACATAACATCTTCAAATAAGGATAATTTGACAATTCCTTTTCCAATTAGTACTTCATTAATTTCCTTGTCTTGTCTTATTGCTCTAGCAGGAATTTCGAACACTTTGTTGAAAAGGAGTGGAGATAATGGACACCTGTGTCTGGTTCCTGATTTTTAAAAGGAATAATTCCGGTTTTTCTCCATTTAGGATGATGTTGCCTATGGGATTATTGTATATAGATTTAATTATGTTGAGATATGTTCCCCCTAGCCCAATTCTTCCTAGGATTTTTAATATGAATGCATGTTGGCTTTTGTCAAAGGCTTTATTTCCACCTAGTGAGATGACCATGCGATTTTTGACTTTAAATTCATTTATATGGTTTATTACATTTTTTGACTTATACATATGGAACCATCTCTTTATCTGGAATAAAGCCAACTTGATCATTGTAGATTATCTTTTTGGTGTGTGTTTGTATATGGTTTGTATTTTGTTGAGAATCTTTGTGTCTATGTTCATTAATAATGTGAGTCAATAGTTTCCTTTTTTGTTGTGTCTTTACCTAATTTTGGTATTAGAGTAATGCTGGTTTTATGGAGTGATGCTGGTTTTATAGAAAGAGTCTGTTTCCAGCTTTTTAAATAATTTGAGCAGTATTGATTGAAGATCATCTTTGAATGTCTGATAGAATTCTATTGTGAATCTATCTGGGCCTGGACTTTTTTTTACCTGGGAGGTTTTGTATTGCTGTTTCAATTTCCTTATTTGCTATGGGTCTGTTGAAGTTTTTATTTCTTCTTGATTTAGCTTTGGTAGTTCCCAAGAATTTAGAAATTTATGCATTTTATTTGGATTTTCAAATTCATTAGGGTATACAGTTTTATTTTATTATCAGTTTCCTTTCTTTTTCTGTCTTGTTGAGACAGGGTCTCC